TGCGGTTGAGAAATAGATCATTTGCCTGTGCACGTGAAATTATGTCCGATTACGTCATTAAATGATAGCCTCGTTCGTAGTTGGTTCACGAGGAGCACGGTCACTATGGCCATCGAACTTCGATACAAAATAATAATATAAAAACAATATAATATACAAACTTTGACAAACTCAGCGGTTAAGGTATCAGTCGCAGTGTCAGTACTCATTAATCAATAACATTTTATTTTCATTGGCGATTGATTGTAAAATGAGGAGATATATGAATTTATAACATGAAGATAAATTAGGCACAATAAACATCAATACAGTTGTTGAAACAAACAGGTCAGATTCTCTGTTTACACCCTCATTTCGACCTGATTCAATTTCGAGGCTGGACGCCGATGCTTTAAATATGAGCACTCGCAAATGAATCTGGTCTATTTAGAAAAGGTAGCACTTTGAAGACAAAACATACTTATATGAACCGAGTTTAGCACTTTCAGGTACACCCTATGACTTGTGTTGTTTATCAATGTCTTGTCATCTTTATTCGAATTCATTTAGAAAGACAATTTTTTTTCTCATACCCTGGTTGTTCCATACTTCTCCAAAACCATACATCCACAATAGACTTTTAAGACGTATAGCCAACCAAACAGTATTTGTTTTCGTTCTCCTGAATTGAAATTCATAACTTTGATTTGCAAACATATCTGCTGACATCCATTTTCAATATACATACTCAGTATATGACAATATGGGGTTATTACGAGGGTACATCAAAGTATGCACGAAGACAGTAGTACAGCAAGAGTATTGACCAACGCGCAGTTGAGAGCATACATGCCTTTGTTAGATTTAAACTTTTTGCGCCGTAAGCAAGGAACCACCTGTAGAAAAGGTAATGCCCACTTATGTGATTTAACCACCTTGATACGCAAGCTTCGCAAAACCAATGAATGGTAATTAGTTTTATGATGTACTCGTACAAAAGTACCAAGTGATACTGCAACCCCTAAATCATTGGCTGCCTTCCAGTTAGCAGATTGTATGACGTAGTCGTACAAAAGTACCACGTGATATTGCAACCTCTAAATCATTGGCTGCCTTCGAGTCAGCAGATTGCGTGACGTACTCATACAAAAATACCACGTGATACTGTGACTCGCACTGCCATCACATACTGTTGTAAATTATGAGCAGTACCGTGGGAGATATTTAACAAGTCAAACCAATTGACTCGACAATTACGTGCATAGCAAGCTGTTAAGATTGATTCAGCATCACGGACGCGTTCGAGCGCATCGGAATCACCAAGTGTTTCAAGAAGTACGCTTCACATGTTCATACCTCCCATTTTACACACATGTATGATTTGCCAAATACAAGAAAACAAATACAATAATTTATTTTCAATAATTAACAATTAGAACATATGTAAATGTATGTATGTTTTTGCTGGGAAGGAAGCGGCTTGAAAGAAATGATATTCAGTGTGCATGTATATATATATACATATATATATATATATATATATATATATATATATATATATATATATATATATATATGAATAAAAGTGTAATAAATTGTATATGTATGTTCATTTCATTTACTGGAATGCGAATGACACTTAATTGAGTACTGTAATATGCACAAAATAAAAGAATTCATACATATATATTAAATTTAAAATGTCAACACAAGCTTGAAGGCTTAATTATTGTTCTTTTCGGTGATATTGTAAGGATGGATGGTGACGTTTTAAAATGCGGACTTACATATATTGATATCATTGCCTCCATAGCACGTTATGTGTTCTGAGCGCCCCTGCCATGGCGTATGTGTACGTGTACGAATTTGGGAAATAATAATGCATGGGCAAATCGCAGTGTGTGTTTGTTAAACTGTCATTTCAAACGTGTTCCCGGGCTTGTATTTTTCTCATTAGTATTCTACACCCACGCGAATTTGATTGTCCGAGGCGTAATTGCTCCAGATTGACGTAATAGTTTGAAGACACACTGATTAAACTACATCCTGCTACGACATGCGAATATATGTCTCACTCTGTGAGCACTCGGAATGTCTATTTCATCAACATGTAATTGAAGGGCTACTTCATGAACGGTGATTCATAATTATATGCAAATATATACACATCGACATATTTGTTGTGGTTTTGAGAACTGTTTTATTAATTAATGATCGAAGTTCGTGCACGTTTTAAATGTAAATAGACGAGTGAAGGGAAACTCGATTGGCGACATTTCATTGTAATCACGAGAGACGTAATTCTATACATGGAAAACGTACCACATGTGTGATTCAAACTGGCGACCACGGCACTAACTCGCCTAGCTAAACTCCCTAGCGTGGCGTTAAAAAAACTAAATCCTAGAACGTGCAATAGATGAGGCAGGAAGGCATGCTCAATATTTGTTGAGACTGGATGCCTCAATCAGGGCTATAGATAACGTTTAATTAATTTAGTAATACTAATTATAATCCGAGATTAGAATGATACGTTTCAAAATAATTCAAGGTCTGGCAACGAAACAATTACACGTGGAGTTAGAATGGTCATCGCCTCTTATCCTGTCCAGACGGTTGTTCCGGCTAATTGCAAACTGTACAGGTTTGAATTTTAATAATACGCATGTGCAAGTCTCACGGGGTTACTTCAGTTTACATATCACTGTCTCAGACATAGCGTACCACATCCTTCGACGACCATAACAAATGTGTTAAAAAACATTGCACAAATCTTGTGGCATGGTTTCTAACTGATAAATATAACGTCTTGATAGAAAAGCTTTTAGCTTCACGACAAATAGTTAATCTATCACTCTTAAAATTATTATCAAATATTGTGTACCATATTTTAAGCCAGTATTTTCCAGGCAGTTCTTAAAATAGAAAAAATTGCGGCAACACTTTGTGTAGCAGAATCTAAATGCAATGAATTGAATTGTCATGAACACGATAATAGACCATATTGTCTATGTAATGTATTATATAATATTATTAATATTAACCGACACATCTATTTCGAACTGTGCCTCGTGTAGAATACATAACAACTAAGGTAGCAGCTCAAATCGACTATTTAATCTGTTTTACACTTAAGCAACAACAGTATATTGATTTAGTCAATATAGTGTTGATAATTCTCTCTCTCCGTCAACAACACAGTCTCTATATAATTATGTGCGGTGGTAGGATAAACTGTTCTCACTATATCAAGGTAAATCACGCTAATTTACAAGAGAAGGTATTTAAAATTAGCGCTATGAAGAATCTTAACTCACTGTACCATTAGCTTGAAAGACGAATTTACATATACGCAGTCCCTCGTTATTAATATTAAAATCATCCATCAACGTCGATACATCTAACCAACAAGTCGCCTCTAATAACCACTCCGATTACCCTTATATAATTAAGTAATTAATTGTTACTCGTTAAAGTCACTTGCTGCTGATTATGGTGATACATGTACATTCAAACAACAACGCGGCGATTGTTTCAATTTTCCTTCGCAATAAACTTGCGGGAAGTATTGATATCGTGTAGTAACAGCGTTGATATTGACCTGGAACAACTACATCCAGCTGTTAATTATGTATAAGATAATGATATATGTTTATGAATTAAAATCCACGCGGGTTTTGTAATTTGGATTGCCTATGAAAAATTGAAGAAGTATTACAATGCATACGTATAAGTTTCACCAGTGTTTGGAGATTGAATTAGTTCGATTTCCCTTGGGGACTTCACACAAATGTTGCCGAGTTTTGCCGAGTCTCGGATGATTAGTTCCGCATATTATTACATGCACATTTAAGGCATTGGATGTTCATCTAGAGTAGGTGTTGTAAGGGGTATTTTCCCACAAGTTGAGGTCATACATCGATTTGAATAATCATACACAAGAAAAACGTACTCACTGACCACTGCACGTACACTTCTTTGTTGCGCATTCTGTCTTTTTAGATAGAATTTAGTTTTTAGCTAATTTGCCTATATTTATTCTCAAAATGAGATTGTTAGCACTTATTATTAGCTTTATGGATTTGTGCATTGGTCAAATTTGCTAAAATGGTTTTGCAACATATTATATGTTGTTTTAACTGACTCCATTTAATAAGCCCTCCTACTGTAGATTTCATGATTAATAGTGATATGCAAAATACGACGTCGTATGCATTAATAAATGATCCAAAGTGGCTGTATGGAGATTAACATAATTACATAATGTTTCTGACATTCTTGTGGTAATCTTGTTTTCTAAAGATAAACCAATTTTATCAACTATAATGATATTTTTATTCCCGGGGAGAATGTTGAAATTATAACTCGATTAATAATTCTTCCGCCATTAGTAGTAATCAAATAAATTTTCTACAACATTCTCATTCTAATGTTATTTGATTACGTGTTGCAAGCGCATGTCTTTGAGCACATAGTTACTAATGACATGTATCAACTGAAATACATTTCAGACTTTTAAATTGTAATACAAAAAAAAAACATATTCCATTTTTAAAATATTTTCACTTGGCTTAAATCATTCATGACTCATCACATTTCCAATTAAAATAAATATACTGTTGACCAATCACTTTTTTAAATAGTGAACGGCCTCTTAAAAATATATCGCCAAAAAATAATATCATGTTCTTTTTTTTTTAATAAATGAGCTACTATTTTAATTACTAATTTTTTGGGGCAATATACTCTTACACGGACGCCAACATAATTTGATCATAAAACCTGATATATTTACTGTAAGTTTCCCTTGGAAAACTGTAATGTTTCTTGGAAGATACTAAGCGTTGCTTGTTGTGACTATGCAGTCAGTTGTTAGAAACTTGCATATCACAAGTATAAACTACATTCTTTGTTTTTTAATTAAATTGTACACATAATGTTCCTATAACGCTCCTATAAATAGGTTTCACAAATATAACACATATATCTCTAGCATTGGTCCTTTTCATTATGTTTTACAGGGAACCAACGGTGAATATGACTGAAGATGAAAAAACTTCACAGTTGTTAAACTATCTCTTGGACCCAGATAGATATGATAAACGGTTTAGACCGAAGTCAAAAGGTTAGTTTCTAATATTTAGATAATTGTGTCACAGTATAATCAACCTATCACGGAATCGTAATCTTCTACTTCTAAGTGGTATATATTTTTTTCTTGGAATTAGTTTATATAGAATATGTGTTGGGTGCCTGACTTCTTTTCGAAATATTAGTTTTCATGTGTGCTTTGAAGTCCCACGTGTTCCATTGGTATGTTTGTTTAAATATGTTGTGTTATGGATTATGGATTGTAAAGAATTGTTGGATATGATTTTATTTTAATTAAATATGACTGCCGACCCGGATGTCAAGTAACTGAATTTGATGAAAAGAGAAATTACGGCTGATCTGCACTGGCTCGGAAGATGAATTCTGATTGGCTAAAAAAACAAAAAAACTTGTGGCGTTGAATGCACGTTCATTGTCAGTATTGTTATGCAAATTCAAACTAGCTAATCATTTACAACCTTCCGAGCCAGTGCAGATTAGCCCAGAAATTATTCTTATTCTGAAGTTTACAGCTTCGACTGCTTCGCGTAAAAAACAATACGTCACTCTGTAACTATAGATACATATTAAGTAACTTCAAAAAAATTATTAACATTTTTCAAGACCATTTGGCATGTAATGTAGAAATCTGTTTGATGGACCAAATGAAAATACATGTTACCTTAATTGATTTGTTGATTCAAACACGGGTGATTGTTATCGAATGTTACGTCATTGTATATTTGTATGTATGGAACGCATGATACAACAATAGAAACGGATCACCCAGACTAGAACGATTACATTTAGTGCCGGCTAAAATTTAATAAGGACATCTTGGAATCGATGTTGCTAACGTGATGTGAATTATAATGACGTATAAGTCGAATTGAAATCATTATGTTACACTGTGCAAATAGAAATCACAGGGGATTCTGAAAATCTGATATGTAACCGATTTTTTAAAGTTGTAGCTAGAATCGCTAAACACAAGTTAGAAACTCGAAACAGTGTGTGTAAAGAATAATTTTACATAATCAACGAATTTTGCGCACCACACGGTTGATAAGTTGAAGTGATGTGATTGTTGCCATGCCGACAATGACATCATAACCACAAAATAGATTGGCAAATTATAATATAGAATATGATTATTTTTTTCTGAGAGTAGGTTTAAATGTATACAGCAGTATAATTGGAAGAACAAAATATTGAAAAGAAAATACTAGAAGGAAATGTTAGGGCGAAGACGACAGATGTTACATAATTAAATAATGACCCACCAATTCTTTAACATCACTGCTTTTCAATAACGAACAATAGTTTTTTTTATAAATATATAGATCCAATAGATTGCCTGTAACATCTGCCACGTATATCAACATGATAGGAATTTAGGCGACTTGATATCGTTTTTGTAATGTGATAGCGTACAAAAATGCATTACCATGAACGCAGAAACCACATAACATCTCAGAGAGTTGTAACATATATCTAGGGTGTTGCAACTCGTATCGAACAATGGTGCTTTGTAACCCGGTAGGTTACTTAATTAGGTGTGAATGTTTATTTAACTAGTTCACAGTTACTACAGATACAGATAGGCACAATACCTGGTTGAAGAGAGATGTTGATCAGAGTAGTTCGATGCATACAGACAACGGTGTCGTTATGACAACGACATAAGAGACCATAGCCGAAAACTAGGTTGTCAATAGCGATATGTTTGGTTTTAATTACATTAGCCTATGGTAACTGAGAAAAGGTTTTAATGTTGGCTAGAAAATAAGCTCAAAAAAAATACTCGGGAAAGAGGAGGCATGTGACGTAATCATAATCAATTGTCCACCAATGCTTTTAACATTGTTATCTTGTTCATCAAGTTACATTATTTACCCACATGTATATGTGATATATTAAATTATTTTATCTTGCAGGTCCCCCGGTTTACGTTCTTTGTGACTTTTTTATAAACAGTTTTGATTCCATTACAGAGACTACCATGGTATGTACTCACCGCTACTCTTACCTTTGATATTTGTATTGGGTCCCCATTTCCTCTTTGCATTACGTTGTTGTTTTATTATTCATGAAACTAATTGTATGTTGTGGATGATAACAATCGCTTTCTGTGCAGCACTCATTCCAAAATTGTGTAATAAATCTGATTTGAACAGATGTGTCCACTTTTATACTTGCATTCCTCCAGGAGTACGTAATTTATTTCCAGTGACGTGTATAATTCCCATCTATTTGTTAGTTGCTGCAACGATCTGGATCGCAGCGAATGTATATTTGAGCTGGATAATCTATGCACGCGGCTTCAATCAATTTGTGACCGAGTATGTCATTTAATTTGCCATCTTGTTCGTTCTCGTTCGCGGCTAGTTGCGCTATATTCGCTGAACAATGCCCGCCCGTATATTCGAAATATTTCATCACAACTTTGGAGGCAGGTAAATAAAGTCCCGTTAAATCTTAAACGAGTTCAAGTCGCTCGATGCCAAGTGCAGGTCATATTCTCGGGACTGCACAATTTCCTCTTGGTGATCGAGAATGCTTTGGTGGTTAGTAAAAACGGATTAAACCGAGTAGTATTACGTCACTCTGTAATTATTTGCAGTTGGCATTAATTTTTGATGATTATTTAATTGACGTAACGTTGCATATCGGTGCATTGAAGCAGAGCAGTAGATAATATGCGTAGCCTTGGGAAACAAGCAAGGCTGGCAAAGCATACATATAATTTAATTGCAGACCCCTTACATTATTGTAGTGACACTCGGTCGGTGCTGCTTTTGTGCTCTTTCTTTGGACGTAAGCATTGGTAGACACATGCCCCAGGTGCCGTGGTGATGCAATGGATACCATATTACGAGATGGCGCGTCTTACGCACCGGATTACACGATATAACACGATTGGAAATTACGTTTGCTTTTATATGTATTAATATTTTTTATTTATCAGCTATCCTAGCGAAAGTTTAACTTCTATCGGTTTAACCAACAGAAGCGATTCCAGACGCTTGACTACCACAACATATGATAAATAATTTTGATGATTTGGAAATTTTGCAGAACTCGCATCCAATAGATAGCGTTTTAAAAGAAGAAATTGCGTATATAATTGTGTTTGACCTTCGATCCGCACCTACCGCGAGCCGATGTCGGGAGCCCATATAAATAAACATCTTGCATCTGCAAGTTCATTGATTTTAATTCTGTTCACGCCTGGACAAAATTATAAAAAAACGTCACTGGATGCAATAGATCAAAAATCAATTGTATCAAGTGTCTGTTGTTATGGTGATATATGAACGATGCAATGTGATCCAATTAACAAGTACTCTGTAAGGACTAGATCAGTAGTCAGCCATGTAACGTTTGTACGACACGTGAATCCGTAACATGTTGCGTTATGTAAATTGATAATATTTGGTTTTGTTGGTCTTAGATTTCGACAACAATTCACTAATTAGACCTTCTCATAAGAAACCTGCCGTCTAAGGTCATATGGCGAATATTCAGATGCTGTTCACATATTTTTACGACTAATGAAAACTTCCTTAAGCTGAATTTGAAACTACGCCGAGTTTACAACACGGCGTCATTTGAAATTGACTATGGCTCGTACGCAACCCTGAACAGAAATGCGCTATTTTACACGCCTTTTTAAATTACTAAAATGAATGTCAGAACGGTGCAATTCGATTTATTTATTTATTTATTTATTTATTTATTTATTTATTTATTTATTTATTTATTTATTTATTTATTTATTTATTTATTTATTTATTTATTTATTTATTTATTTATTTATTTTTTTTTTTTCCAATTGATATGTGATTATTATTCCATTATTATATATTCAATTTCAAATTATTTATTTGTATTGTGGTAATAATGAAAGCCGGCGATAGTTAAATTAACACAAAATAATATGTGCTCACTAAAACGCAGCAAAATAATATAAATATTAAAAACGAATTAATAATAAATATCGTACAGATTTAATCGGACCAAATTGGGAGAAATGATAAATGAAGGAAAGTGGAAGAGGGAAGGAGTGAAAGCGTGAATATATGAATTCGTCAGTCATGCATGCTAGACATATCTACTGTGAATGTTCATAAATATATCTTATCACATATAACTGAGCAAAATGTTGTATAGATACAACTACCCTATACGACGTTTGTCAAAAGATTCATAGTTGGGTATGCTATTTACACAATAACACATAGACTGTACGTGCAATGGGTTTATGGTGTCAATTTCATTTTATAACATTTGCTCATAATACACCATAATACATTTCAATATTAATCATAATTATGTTCATATCAGTCGAGCGCTGCACGTGGGAGCAATTAACACTAAACGTCTACCCGGTATTAACCTTTCGGATTATCTAATCATGCAATCGACTATTTACGATGCGTGCCGTGTTAACCGTGTTTACTAGGTTAATGCTGTCTTTGTAGGATTATGGTGTATCGATATTCATGCGGCAGCGATGGACGGACCCACGGCTATCTCATAATGACAGCGATCCAATCTTCCTGCACGACATAACACGATTGTGGACCCCTGATGCGTTCTTTACCAACGAGAAGAGCGGACATCTCCACACGGTCACTGTAGAGAATCAGATAGCCCGGATATACCAGGATGGATTCATTTTATGCAGTACACGGTATTATTGCTTATACTAATGTTAAAGACGCAATGTTTGTATTGCGTTTTACGGACAGATGAATTCTCTTGTTTTCGGTTTCAGATATATAAATTATAATACATTATATTTTGAGTTGCCATGACAATATCTATATTATCTTTGCAGGTATAGTTTAAAATTGGCATGTTATATGTCACTTGAGCGGTTTCCAATGGATACACAAGTCTGCAAAATTACAATGGAAAGCTGTAAGTAACTAAGTTAACTTAAAAACTTTAAAAATCAACTTAATTAAAACTAAAATTGTAGTATACAGAAATGGGGGATATCTCAGTAAATATGAAAAGTGGTACTTCGTGAACAAGCAACTTAGTACTGTTAGTTCATATGAATACTTGGGATTGGTAATGTTATGTAAATGCTCTTTTAATATTACCACAGAAAATTTAGCTATAAAAGGCAAAAAGAAATTGATTGCAATCAAAAGATACTTAGGAAATATGCAATTTTTTTAAAGCAGACTTGTATTTTAAGATTTCTGACACCTTAATTCAACCTGTATTTACATATGGGTCTGAAATTTGGGGATATGATCAATGTCAACATTTAGAAAGTGTACATACATCTTATTGTAGGCAATACCTCGGTGTAGGTAAAAATGCTCCAACTTGTATAGTATTAGGGGATTGTGGGAGGCTACCCTTATTTTGTTACCATGTTAAAAGATGTGTGAAATATTGGTTAAAAATTACTAGCATGGATGAAAACAGATTACTCCAAGTAGCTTACCGGATGCTACTTGCACTGGACGAAAAACGACCAAGGTCATGGGGCCACAGAAATTAAAGAATTGCTATTTAAATATGGATTTGGTTATGTCTGGTTTAATCAAGGGGTGGGGGACTCTGATATGTTCTTGTACAAATTTTGTGAACGGGTCAAAGATACTGGAATTACAGATTGGTATATAGACGTTTGTTCTGGCGAAAAAAAAAACACCGCAGTATTATAGGCAATACAAAACAAATTATGGGATTGAAAACTATGTGTCATTGCCACAATTAAAATTGCGCAGAGCAATAGCAAGATTAAGATGTGCGTGCCATCCCTTAGAAATAGAAAGAGGCAGACATAATAATATCCCTAGGGAGAGCCGTATTTGTCATTTGTGCCTGCAAGAAATTGATGATGAATATCATTTTTTACTAAAATGCACTGAATGGGACACAATCAGAAAAAAGTATCTCCCAAATGAGACACAACCCCTGAATTTGAATACTCTAGTACAACTATTAAGTTCCTCTAAAAGCCAAATCATTAACTCGTTAGCTCTATTTATTTATAAGTGTTTTTTAATCAAAGTTCAAATGAGAATAACCTAATAAGCTAATAAGCTTGTATGTATATATATATAAATATCCCCATCACATTATTATATAGTGCTTATATTATCTATTGACACCCTCTTTATCTATATTTTCATACATATTTTGTAATGTAAATTTATTTCTTGTCAATAATTAATTTGTATGATTGTAATGGGCCGGAGGCCATTATACAATTAATAAAATTATTATTTTTATTATAAGTAACCAAGTTAATATCGCTGTACTTGTTACGCTAAGTTTATAAATGTTACGTGACAACGTCATCGATCTCATATTTAAAGATTGCTAAGCTGTGTGTGCGTCATATTCGCTTGTGTTTAGTTACTAGAATAATCGAGACAATAATCTGATTGTGTATGGCCAGGGTGCACGTGTATTCCCTGATAAGTATTGGTTGAAAATGGTGATATTTGGTGTATGTAATCATGCTAGGTAGTTATAAACGGCAATGTAAAATGAGTTAGAAGGAAATTGGTCGAATGTATCCTCTGATTTGCTACTACAATACAACATTCAACCAACCAAGCCGATCGGACTCTGTTTTGAAGATGCGTTATGTATGTATTAATATGTTTGGCTCCTATTCTATTTCTTTTATTGCATTTAATATTTTTTTCTGTTACGTTATAATCTCATCAAAAATATTTACTGCATTACGCTACGAACAAATGGTACAGCGTCTACAGTGTGGTGGACGTACAATGATACCCTGTCGCATGTCGTAACTATGTCATTTCTTAGCTTCATCACAACTGGCGACAATTTAAAACCATTATGCCGACCATGCGGGTTATGCTAGGAACTGTCGCGAGATCAGGACCTTGTAACTATATTACGTTTATAAAATGTGTGACCTTTCAAATCAAATAGGGCAATGATCACATAACTATAACTACTGTTACTAGTATCAATCGTAAATACATGGAAATAGCTCAGTCAGTTAAATCATTATAAATATATAGAGCTCGTTTTATATTGCTTTGTGAATCAAAAATTTAGGAAGTTTGTTTCAATAAATCACATTTAACGCAGCATTCCTACACGTTCCATTGATGCATGACAGTAAAGAGACAACATAGCTAACACTTGCTAAAAACAGCGTCCAAACTATTTTTGAGAATTCATTGAAATTCGGAAAACGCCATTTATTATTAATATGGGTCAATAGCATCTATTCAATTTGATTGGTACATAAAAATATATTCATTAAGTTGACGGACGAGGAGCTAGGTCTCCAACTTCAAGTTGTTCTGTTCTGTTCCGGTTCTATCAAGTTTGCAACCATATTTCCGTGAAATTATTATTAATGGGCGTGCTGTCATGTATCAATAAATATTAAATTAATATTGTAAACCTTTTTCCGAATAAAAAAAGTTTTTGTTTTTAATCCTGGCATTTTATATGTATACGCCGCGTAAACAATGGCCTCTTGAACGCTGTGAAGCAGGCTCAGATTTAGTATATATGTGCGGGGGGCTAGTCGCGTACTAACTCCCACAATGCATTGTGTTATTTGTAAATGTATATAAGAAAAAGTTATGCTCATAAACACATTGTAAATATTTAGTAGGAAAAGTTCATACTGCTTCCAGTAGAAATTAATTACAAAGTGAAATGAATACGTATTTTGCCGATGATTATTAACAGAAAGTTTAATTACTCCCATCACTGTCTCAGACTTCATCATTATAGCAGTGAATGGACGTAAAATTCGAAACATTATATGAAATCCTCTAATCGATTAAATTTAATATCAGTTACTCGTCTGTATATTTGTAGAAATTGTGTTTCAAATTACTTCGTCTTTTACATCTGTTCGTAACACTTTCGTATGTCACTCACAGATGGTTATACGACGAAAGATTTGATCTTCGACTGGCATGCCGACAAACCCATACAGACAGACAACGAACTGAAGTTACCACAGTTTCGTATAAGTGACATTGTTACATTTAATTGTACAAAGTCGTACACAACAGGTGAGTGACTAAAGATATGTATAATGTACACAGCAGGTGATTTAGTAAATATACACACAGAGTGACTGTACACAACGAAACAAGATAGGCTAAAGCTGCTCACACAATTTGTATTCTATTTTTACTTGCAATTATCCTTTTTGAGCGAAATTAATTACAAAGGTAGGATGTGTAAAAACAAAGCAATTTATCAAATAAAACGACAAGAATAATAAATACATTAAAAATCAATTTCACAAAACATAAACGGCAACAGTTGAGGTTGTATAATAAAAAAATCTCATTATTCACGGAGTATTGTGATTACATATAATTATTTCAAAACCTAATATGAAATACGACGCTCATATTTGCATGAATTACATTTTAATTGAATCCTTGAGTGAAGGAGTTTGAGGTAATTGATGTCAATTTATTGGAAGACAGACAAGACTCAATCAACGCTTGCCATCTAATGGTGAAACCAAATGCATCTAGACTTCCAGACGCCATAATGGTAGTACATCACTTTACTAATGATAACGTTGACATTTTAATTAGTTTTGAATTATTCGAATAATTACATCACAGCCACAAATTGCGACATTATTGAGTAGGCTACAGATGTCAGTCATTTCTATATATAACGAATATTCACTATTAGACTACTTGCCGCACACCGAAATACGTAGCTATTCAACACTTAACATTGTTTGTATCTGTTTCTCGTTCAGGCAGTTTTACGTGCATAGAAGCTACGTTCACACTACATCGCGAAGTCGGATACTACATATTACAAGCCTACTTACCCAGTATTATATTGGTGGTGTTGTCGTGGGTTTCGTTTTGGATCAGCTATGAAGCAGCGCCCGCAAGAGTCGCTCTTGGTGTAACAACGATATTGACCCTAACGACGCTGGATTCGGGTATTCGTTCGCAGTTACCCAAAGTGTCATACCCTAAGGTAACTAGAAAAGTTAATTTTAACTCAGAAGCACGTCACACCAAGTGAAGGGATTTTCATGTACATAACATATCATACAAAAATAATACAGTAAAAGAAGTAGTTAATGTTGCAGATAAATATCTTCGTGCTCTTATATTTGAACGCACGCATCAAGCACATATCACTTCTATAAATCAGACGCAAACATTTACTAATATTAACCCGAGAAAGTCTATCGAGTGGCTTTATAACCGTCGTTCGAGGGCGCAATTCCCAAGACCTTGCCAGTCCGCGAAATATATATTTTTTTCAACTTGCAGGCAATTGACATTTGGATGGCAGTATGTCTAGTCTTTGTTTTTGCCGCCTTGGTGGAGTTTGCCGGAGTCAATTATATTAGTGTGTATGAGAAGAAAGTCAAGAAGAAGAAAAAGGATTTGGAAGAATTAGATAAATTATATGCAGCAAAACAACACCAGCAATCAAGGGAAGAGGTAATTCAACGAGATCATAATGGGATGATGATTAAAGCTGGGGTGTCGTCACCTGCGCATGTGGCAAACGGCCATAGCGTGTCGTTGTTTACAAACAAACGTCTACCCATGAGCCTTTGCGTTTTTATAGTTCCTTGTTATCGTCGCTTGGGACTCAATTCCCGCGCGTGCGCGGGTGACGACCCCTCGGCTTTAACTTTGTTGGTAGTGTGCATTAAATGATAAACTGACGCAAAATAATATAAAATTTCGTTACAAGTGTAAAACATGTGATTTGAAGGATTGATAGAATTTCTACACAGGTTTTGTTATAATTTGTGTCAATGTGTGTGGTCACGAATGTAATCCTCTCTATTTAGAAAACAACATTTTCGCAAAGAAATGGTTTGCTTTAATTTCGAACAATATTCATTCAATATTATACCAGAATAAGCAGGCTGGCTGGAATATGGACTGATACATTCATAGCTATAAGTCAGCTGGGGGTATCTTTTCAAATATTACCAATACTGTCGTTCGAGTGGCTCCATTTTTGGAAATTTCAACATTGGTGCTGTTTATTTGTAAAACTAGACAATTACCCATTTTAATTTATTGAAAATTGTGCGTACTTCACTTATTGCCTCTATGTCTGAAACAACCCGCTTTACAGATTTTACGTTCTTGACTGAGAAGCGTTAGATTTTAGTAGTCGCGCCCTCTAGTGACAAAATGCTTTTGCGCGGGTTGAAGAAAACGTCGTTCAGATCGAAATTGGATTTGACCCTGTAGTCGTTCGTCAGTTAGAATTTGGTAGGTCACTCCAATTTTTATTTACGGCGGACAGCAACTGTCTTAACAACACTTTAAGTGGCGTTATTAACTTCTGCGAGAACCCGACGTTATGTACCCCTTTTGTGGTTGGCAATCCTTTCGCCCATGTACGTCACAGAAATGCGTTGCCGCTAGAGGGCGCGATTTGCTGGAGAGGTGATTCGTGAGCTAGATAAATTACACTATCACATATCCGAATGACGCGTGGTGCTATGGTAGCCGAGGTGTTCTCAATGATTCGATCGACGCAATGACTGCGGCACGGCGTTATAAACAGTTATAAAACTGGTGCAAAGCTCGTTCTTTCAGTACCTCGGACTGGCATTTAATGGGGCGTCAGTCACTTAGCATATTAAATTGTAGCAACGTTTTACTATTTAACAGGTTTCCATGGGAGTAAATGGTAACAGCGAGTTCATCGAGCTTAAAAATAGACATAAAGACGAACCCAAGGTGTATCAACCAACTGTAGAGCTGGACGGGTCAACCACTATCGACAAACCCAAACGAAACCCAGTGTTAACAGCAGATAACGTGGACAAGGCATCTAGATATATCTTTCCAGCTTTTTTCATCACATTCAACATCGTCTATTGGATTTGCTACCAAGCCTGGTGATATTGTAAGAACAAATTGATTTACGAGTGAACCTCGGAACTGATGCGGTACAGCTTGGATATTTAATAGCTTTCCCATTTTGTAACCATAATCGGAGAAACTTGTGACGATTAAAACAAATGATAC